TGTTTATTTTACCACATGAGGGGAGACCATATGCTTTTTATGAAAGGCAAATAAACTCTCTAAGAGAAGAGTTAGCCACTGTGGAGAAAGCCCTAGAAGTTGAAAGAGAGGAGGTAGCCAAATTTCAAGAAAAATCTGAAGAATTATTAGATAAGATAAAAAGTTTGAAGAAAAAATTAAGCAACTAGAAGAGGAAAACAAGACATTAAAAGATCAACAGAATGGTCAACTTGAAGTTAAAGAGACTAAAAGATGATCTTGATTGAAAACAAGAAAGTAGTTTAAAGAATATTCTGTATAAATTGAAATTCATTCCAATTATCAAAGAAAATGGTATGGTTGGCTCGGTCTAAAGACATCCTATTGCTGCGCCATGTGGCCAAATTTCAAAATAGCAATTTTGTAATTTGTTCAAAAATGTCTAAATTAATTTATATTTTAGACATTGTCTAAATAATTTAGTTTAAACACCCATCTATAGTGGGGACTAGGTGTCCTGCACTGTAGTTTCCAACATATCTTCTTACATAAATAAAAGGAAAATTTGACTGATCCCTTGAACAAAGTAGAAGAATCCACATAACAGGAGATGAAAAGGCGGAAAAAGATATAGGTGAGGAACAAATAATAGCTTTAGACTTTAAAAAATGCTTTTGATTTAATTAAAGATTGGTAAATTTCAAATAAAAAAAATTTTTTAAATTCAAATAAATTGTGTGCATACATGTAGATTTTACTCAAACTCCAGTTCATATCAAACTTTTGATCTAGCAATGATCTGAATGATCTTAGTTCTGTAGTTAACCAAACAGTAAAGTCAAAAATAATGACAACATATACTTTTTTTTCTATTTTTAAAAACAATTGAAATAAGAAGAAGTGAAGAAAGAAGAACTGCATCGCGCAACTTCCACAAGAGCATTGCATGTGTGTGGTTTTCTGCAGCTGCAATAATTTGGTTTCGAAAATTAGACCCAAGCAAAATGTAAAGAAATACAATAATGGGTGAGTTGAGATACAAAGCTATTGTTCGTGTAGAGAAAGGCCCATAGTAGGAAATCAACAAAGCCAAAGAACCGATAATATCAAAATAAAAATAAATGACCAATCCAAACACCATCAGAATCTTGGGTGAAACAACAACGAAGGCTGTAGAATTTGGTGGTGACATGAAAACCATTGACAAGAAAGCTCGCAAACCTATTGCCCAAATAGAAAGTTTGATTATAGTATAGATGAAAATCCCAAAAGTTGGACGAACATGGAAGAAAGTAAAATTTTGAGTTGAGCGAGCATAACCTTTGCCTCTTGCCCGAACTGACAAACTAATACATATATACCATAATCCTGAAACTATTTTCCACATCAAGTAAAAACTAATCAGAATGACTAACACAGAATTTTGTTGGAGAAGGACAACATCCTGATGATTTCCATAGCCGAATGCTCTCATTACAATCAATGCCACCAAAATTGGCAAATCAACACTTACAAAGTCCAATGACCAACCAGACCAGAAAGTAACACCGCTGGTAGCTGTTATGACAACAAACCGTCGAAATGATGATGAGAGGATGCAAAGAAGAGGAAGGATCGGACTATTCAGAGTAAAAGAAAACACTAGAGGTGATGTCAATGGTTTTCGAAAACGTGGTGTCCAAAATGGTGAAGCACAGATCAATAACTTGGCAGTGATGACCAGCAATGGGATGATGAAAATGAAGACACTATTGAATCCTTGAATTACAAGAGTAATCATAAATATTATAGGAAGAAAACTAAACACACTATCTATTGTTGCAAAAGTAATTGGTAAATGCCATCTTTGTTCTGGATGTTTCTGACAGTATGATGAAATTTCCTCATTAAGTTTTTGGGTCTGATTTGGAATTATGGTCATGAGAGCAACATATATACGGAAAAGAGAAAAACACAATCCAGCACAACTTCCCACGAGAGACAGGATGGTTAGAGGGGGGATAATACTATTAGCTACATTGCTTTGAAATACAAGACTCTGAACTGTTAACACCAGCATGGGCAATGAGTGCAGAAAAGTATCACCAAGAAGTTGAAGACTATTTGTTTCTTCTAGTTCCATAGCTTCTCGGATACACCGATATACTCTCCTATCTTTAGCTATGAGAAGGATTAAAAAGGGAGAATTGTTGGCAAAATTTAGAATACCAGGTTGTTTGAGTCTATATAAAAAAGCAGGTGATATAATTAGGATTGGAATCTTGAGCAGTTCCAGTACTCCAATACAAATAATTGCTGCTTTAGCAAGGTTCTGAGCCCACTTGTAAGAAAGAGTAGAATTATCTTTATATTGACAAATATACATTTGAAGATTTGGAGAAATAGAAGTGGCAAGCGAATCAAAAGTTTTAACAGGACCAAAATCAAGTGATGTAAAAGGGAAATTAATTGTCTTATCTAAGAAGCAATCTGATATAAAATCTTTACACACTAGTTCTGGACTTTTGTCTCCCTGGCTAATAATGAGATAACTATAATCATAAACAGCAGAAACAAGAGTGACTAAAGGAAAAGAAGTATTTCTCCTAGTAGCAGTGCCTACCACACCAGCATAAGAGCCATTTTTTTGAAAAAATCCAGTATATGATCCATAATTAATTTTCAGATGGTTCATAAAATAAACAGATGTATTCATGTCCGGTGGATTGGTTATGCCAGTTCCTAAATCCGAAGCGTTCCAGTGTGCAATATTTGACTCATACCAAGGTAATAGTTCATTTTTTAATGTTGTACATGGTGTATTATTACTCCTTAATAATGACGAAAGAAAAAAAAGGTCTGTAAAAAGAGAGTAAGTGGCCATTAAAAGACCAATAGAATGAAAGACAAGTTTGGATCTGCTGTCTCTGAAAAGTTCTCTGATTCTCATGATTTGGTTTCTTAAAATTTCCTTACAGTTAGTAGAGAGAATCAGTTGATATGGTGTTTAGACAAAGAAGTTGAACGGCGAGACAATGGAAATCTATTATTTGGAGTGATGAGTTTAATACTTTTCCAAATTAGACATCTATTGAAATATTAACATGTGAGAAAACCTGCTTTGAGGTTCTAAATAATTTTTTTTTTCCTAAAGAACTGTGAAACATGGTTTCTCATGCCAAAAATGCTTTTTTTTTATGAACCATAAACGTTTTTTTATTTTCTACAATAAAACCAAAAAAAGAGAATCTATGTGTCTGAACTCTTATTATTATCTGGTTTAGGTAATAATAAGATTCAATTTTTAATTATATAATAGCACACAACAGTTGTCTTAATAAAATTGTATATATGTTATTCTCGTGTACAAACAACACTGTTTGTTTATCCCTTAAAAAAATGAATGAGAAAGAATTTTGTTGTTAGTGTTATTTATTAGTATATACATAAAAGAAGAAAAGGTTGCCGTGTTACATTCTAAATGTAATTTCTGTGTAGATTTTTATATTGGAATATCCTGTATATATATTTTTTAATCAAATTGGGAAACATTATGTTATAAAGAAGACTCGTTAAAAAATATTTTTGTTTTCCAAAAATGACAAAGGGTTGTGGTTATTTTTACATCGCCGTATCATGCGAATTCTCATTTATATTTATTTGGAAAAATTTATCTGTTTTTGTTCAAAACGTCAGGATTGAGCGAAGCAGATACTTGATTGAAAGGAAATCGTGTATGTCTTTGCGTGGTATCTATCGCTGTCTACCATTAGGTATTCGTCTTTCTCTGACGCTTCGGATTGTTTGAAATGACCAAGAACTTATGGCCTTGCCTTGGAGCCTTTACCTCAGATCCCATATCGTCAAAGACTTGCTACACAACGTTAGTCTTCGTATATTTTTCGGGACACGAGACCGGGATTCAAAAACACCTTTTTACATTTTATTTTGTTATTTCAATGATCGATAAATCAAACAATATGTTACGATTTTTTTTTTGATTTTGACCATTTGAGAAATAGTGGATGATCTGGATAGGAAAAATTTCCTTTCGGGGAAAACAAATAAATTGCATTTTTTTATTACTAATCAGCGAATTAACATGACAACAAGACGTAATACTGTATATATCAAATAATTTATTAGAATGAAACATGTTTGATAAAATATGGGTTCAGCTGCCAGACTTTTCATTGATCTCATACGGGTCCTGTGCTCTTTTGTTCTTTTGTTCTTTTGTTCTTTTGTTCTTTTGTTCTTTTGTTCTTTTGTTCTTTTTTACTTTTCTTTGTTTAGGAGTTACCGTGATTTACGAGAATGTGGCCACGGTGTTTGTTCACATTATTTTTATTGATATTGTAAGAGTTTCCTTACTAAAATCGTTAAAATGCAATTTTCAAAGTTTAATTCACTTCTCACGAATATTTATCACTTAGATAATATTCCAATGTATTTGCCAGAGAAAAATAACTTAATTCATTTATTGATCTTTTTGTTCGTATATTTATATAAAATTACAATGAATAAATAATAATAAAATACATGTTATGCGAATAGAGCATATGTTTCACAGCTTAGAAAGAACGTAAAAAGGAAACATAATTAATTAAAAATAAGAGTTAATGTTCTCCAGCATTATCTATATCCACTAACTAATGAATAAATGTGTAACTAATTAATTAATCGTAAACTCTCTTTAACGTGCGTTACTTTGTACGTTGCGTTTACCAACATTTTTCTACGTTACACGTGTCTCACAATAATAATAAATAATAAAATAACGAATAATAATAAAACGAAAAAAATTAATTTAATTATATATCTCTATGTATTAAAAAGCTCATCAAGCTCATCAATTGGCACAGAATTAAACAAAATTGAAGATGTACAGTAAATCATCCCACACACAGTGGCAAATATTCCACAAAAACTCAAATTCCATTCAGAATCATCCCTCTTTTGACCTGGAATGACATCAAATCCCCAACCATACCATGACCACCAAGCGTATGTTCCATCTGAATTGTTGTACCCGAATCCAAATCCTGGCCAAATAAGAAGAAGTGAAGAAAGAAGAACTGCATCGCGCAACTTCCACAAGAGCATTGCATGTGTGTGGTTTTCTGCA